TGGAAAATATATTGCCCATTTTATCTTTCGCCGTTTTTGCCTGGCAGTTTCACGATCCCGCGTTCAAAAGGATTCTTATTCTTGGAATTTTCTCGAACAGAAAGCAAGTTCCAAGAGCGATTTGATATCCTCGTCAGCAGTGATTTAATTTAAATTTAATTTTAATTTCAATTTGATTTTAATTTAATTTAATTTTATTGATTTAATTTCAATTTAATTTTAATTTAGCAAACCGACACTGTCGTAGTTCGAACACGTCAGATCATTTTTCACGAGTTTGCAACGTGTTCTTCTTCTTTTTGCAAGTATGTTCGTTTTTCATTTTGAAATCGATGCCAAACAAATAATCGTTAACAAGGTCGCGCATTTTCTCTTTCTAAGACAAGCTTGAACAATTAGGTATCAGATTGCACGATGAATTTGCTGCTTAGAATGAAATTAGTTTTCATTTACTTTTTAATCAATTTTAATCCAATAAGATTAACGAACTCAGTTACATCACTTTTTGACCAACCCAACATTTCGAGAAAAGAAGAACAGATTCTATCTTTATCAAACCGTGAATTTCTCTGCAAATCCGGATTTTTAATGGCGAAATTCAATTTATCTCGTTTTCTAGATTGCAACAAGCGCTACACTTTCTATATATTTCTACAGCCGACAAATGGGCCATTATTCGTTATTAATCCATGAATTATCACCACGTAGCCTGGCGAGTTGACAATTTCGGAGCGGGATATTTCGCGCGCGCGCGCGAGAGAGAGAGAGAGAGATACGGCTCGACTCGAACGCTTTTGAAAGTCGATCGAGAAGTAGGTGGCGAGTTCGAGCCGTAGCGCTTTGCCGGTAAGACAGCCGATAATTCGTGACGTGGCTGCAGGATCGAAACTTCTCGCTCTCGAGATATCACCGCATTGCAGAACAATTCCTCTCCCCTGTTGGCCATTGTTGGCGGGCCTTTTACGGTCGCGTCTCTTCGCCATGGTGGCCGCTAAATCGTGATATACATGCAAATTTCGACGATGCACGCCGCCGCGAAACGGAACTTTGACCGCTATTACGACGTCGGATATTGAATATCGTAATGCACCCGCCTCCCGCCACGCTCGTATAGCAATCGCGGCGAATCGGTTACGCCCACGAAGAAATTCTGGCCAAGTTTATAGAACGTGCCGCGTCCCGGGGCATACGAACACGTTATGATTCACGGGACCACGGGGAACTATAGTCATGCCTTGGAAAAACCGGGCTCGAGATGCGAGAGAACAGCCGAAATAGGTTTGGCGAATTTGTGACGGAGCCACGAGGCTTGCAGCTTGGATAATGATCGATCGAAACACGCTTCCTGCGGAGTGCAGATTTCATTAAGTTTCGTTACAAATACTCTGGCTAGATTTCCCAATGAGCCGAATCTCGTGTTAATTTCTTAATTTCTTAAATTTAGAACTAATCCTAGATAGGTCCCGGTTTCGATTTAGATCTGTTTTATTTTTGTTGGATGCCGGTTCGTGTATTA